ACGACGGTCATGTTGCCTCTCAGGGAGCTGCTGAAAAGGTGGATGAAGCAGCAGACCATGGACAGGTTCCTCAGCAAGAAGCAAGAGTGGAAGAGGAACCTTCTTCGAGTGGTCCCCAGAGTCTTAGAAAATGTATGTACAGTACACTTTGTTGATTTTTAAATGTTTTTCTGTCATGTTTAGAAACTTAATTTATTGTTCCTTCAATTTTTGAAATGCTCTTTACAGTATGTGTGACTTTAAAGAGCAGTTAATAAACTATTGTTGTACCAAATTTGGCTTTGATTGGACTTTTTTTGACCATAGGAATGCATTAATTGAATTTCAATGCATTCCTATGGGAAACCGTGCTTCGCAAGATGAAAAATTCGCTAGACGAAAAAACTCGCGGAACGAATTAATTTCGTCTTGCGAGGCACCACTGTAGTTTTCTTCGTTCGGTATCTGTGACTCTGATATCCTAAATCTTGGAAGATGAATTAATGTTTCCACTAGAGGGCAGCAAAATTCAGTGTTCTCCGATATTTATTTTAACTCCTTGGCTCAGGCAGCATGGTAGTATTTTTAAACTCTGTAAATAACTGCTTAGTGGCTGGCAGTCCAAATACATTCTCACTGTGGGACTTATTCCTGCTGAAGAAATCTTGCCCACACTCAAGCTAGCCCAAAGGAAATTGCTCCAAAATACTGTCAAGGGTAAACTGTGGAACTTTTTTTTCTTGTTTCTGTGCACATTAGAAAAAACATCAGAATAGCTCTCACTATCAGTCCTGATGACTGATACCTTATCAGAACAGACACTTATGACACCACTCACCACACTCCTGAGGGCTTCATCAATACCAGTGCCTGCCCACCTGCTCACCATGCTAGCTACTTTGTCGATATTTATGAACTCCTTGGTACTGCCACCTGTCATACCACTTAACTTGTTACTAGTACTTGTTTCTTCTGTGGAGTCACCTCTCCAGAATGACATTATCCCTCCATTAGTTCTAACTAATGGTTCACTGCCTTGCCGTGGCGAAGGGGCTTGAATAACTCGGAGAAGCTATGAACTATGCCGAGCAGGGCACCCAAGATGGACAGGTCATAGTGGAGAGTTTTGACCAAACATGATCCACCTGGAGGAGGAACTGGCAAGTCACTCCAGTATCCCTGCCAAGAAAACTCCATGGACAAAGACAACAGGCATATAAAAGTTATGATGCTGGAAGATGAGCCCCTCAGGTCGGAAGGCGTCCAACATGCTACTGAAGAAGAGCGAAGGACAAGTAGATCCAGAGCTGATGAAGCGGCTGGGCCAAAGCCGAAAGGACGCTCAGTTGCGGATATGCCTGGAAGTGAAAGGAAAGTCCAATGCTGTAAAGAAAAATATTGCATAGGAACCTGGAATGTTAAAACCATGAACCTGGGTAAGTTGGATGTGGTCAAAAATGAGATGGCAAGAATAAATATTGACATCCTGGGCATCAGTGAACTAAAATGGACGGGAATGGGTGAAAACAAGCTGGTCATCACAAACACCCTTTTCCAATAACACAAGAGACAACTCTACACATGGACATCACCAGATGAGCAGCATCGAAATCAGATTGATTATATTCTCTGCAGCCAAAGATGGAGCAGGTCTATACAGTCAGCAAAAACAAGACCTGGAGCTGACTGTGGCTCAGATCATCAGCTTCTTATAGCAAAATTCAAGCTTAAACTGAAGAAAGTAGGAAAAACCACTGGGCCGGTAAGATACAATCTAAGACAAATCCTTTATGAATACACAGTGGAAGTGAGGAACAGATTTAAGGTTTTAGATTTGGTGGACAGAGTGCCTGAAGAACTATGGATGGAGGCTCGCAACATTATACAGGAGGCAGCAACGAAAACCATCCCAATGAAAAGGAAATGCAAGAAAGCAAAGTGGCTGTCCAACAAGGCCTTACAAATAGCGGGAGAGAGAAGGCAAGCAAAATGCGAGGGAGATAGTGAAAGATATAGGAAATTGAATGCAGATTTCCAAAAAATAGCAAGGAGAGACAAGAAGGCCTTCTTAAACGAGCAATGCAAAGAAATAGAGGAAAACAACAGAATGGGAAGAACCAGAGATCTGTTCAATAAAATTGGAGATATGAAAGGAACATTTTGTACAAAGATTACCATAATAAAGGACAAAAGTGGTAAGGACCTAACAGAAGCAGAAGACATTAAGAAGAGGTGGCAAGAATACACAGAGGAATTATACCAGAAAGATATGGATGGCTCAGTACACCCCAGGTAGTGTGGTTGCTGACCTTGAGCCAGACATCCTGGAGAGTGAAGTCAAATGGGCCTTAGAAAGCACTGCAAATAACAAGGCCAGTGGAAGTGAGGGTATTCCAGCTGAACTATTTAAAATTTTAAAAGATGATGCTGTTAAGGTGCTACCCTCCATGTGCCAGCAAGTTTGGAAAACTCAGCAGTGGCCAGAGGATTGCAGAAGATCAGTCTACATCCCAATCCCAAAGAAGGGCAGTGCCAAAGAATGCTCCAACTACCGCACAATTGCACTCATTTCACACGCTAGCAAGGTTATGCTTAAAATTCTACAAGGTAGGCTCAAGCAGTATGTGGACCAAGAACTCCCAGAAGTGCAAGCTGGATTTAGAAGAGGCAGAGGAACCAGAGACCAAATTGCAAACATGCGCTGGATTATGGAGAAAGCTAGAGAGTTCCAGAAAGACATCTACTTCTGCTTCATTGATGGCAGAAAGTGAGGAGGAATTAAATAACCTTTTATTGAGGGTGAAAGAGGAGAGCGCAAAATATGGTCTGAAGCTCAACATCAAAAAAACGAAGATCATGGCCACTGGGCCCATCACCTCCTGGCAAATAGAAGGGGAAGAAATGGAGGCAGTGAGAGATTTTACTTTCTGGGGCTTCATGATCACTGCAGATGGTGATAGCAGCCACGAAATTAAAAGACGCCTGCTTCTTGGGAGAAAAGCAATGACAAACCTAGACAGCATCTTAAAAAGTAGAGACATCACCTTGCCAACAAAGGTCCGTATAGTAAAAGCTATGGTTTTCCCAGTAGTGATGTATGGAAGTGAAAGCTGGACCATAAGGAAGGCTGATCACCGAAGAATTGATGCTTTTGAATTATGGTGCTGGAGGAGACTCTTGAGAGTCCCATGGACTGCAAGAAGATCAAACCTAGCCATTCTTAGGGAAATAAGCCCTGAGTGCTCACTGGAAGGACAGATCCTGAAGCTGAGGCTCCAATACTTTGGTCACCTTATGAGAAGAGAAGACTCCCTGGAAAAGACCCTGATGTTGGGAAAGACGGAGGGCACAAGGAGAAGGGGACGACAAAGGACGAGATGGTTGGATAGTGTTCTCGAAGCTACCAGCATGAGTTTGATCAAACTGTGGGAGGCAGTGGAAGACAGGAGTGCCTGGCATGCTTTGGTCCAGGGGGTCACGAAGAGTCGGACACGACTAAACGACTAAACAACAACAAAGTTCTAACCTAAGTTTCATGAACAGCATCAGCCTCAACTTTAGTTTTGGTAAAGCTTTTTGAGGAGGGGCATTCAACACCCCTTCAGCCTTGAGTTCAGCTTCTTTAGGTCTTGTGTCCTATGCTTCCAGCACTGGCCGGTCACCTCAAATATGGCAGCTATGTAGTTCCTCCATAGATATCAACATGGGAGGCTAGAATGCTACAAAAGACATCAGTTTATTTCCCCACAGTCTGTTCTGGAATAAGCTTTTATTCTAGCTGAGCCCTGACACTGGATGTAAAGTAAACTAGAGAAAAAAGTACAAGGAGGAAAGTGAAAGGCTTGCACCCTCCCAGTACCCCACATCCGATTTTTATTTATTGTATTTCATTAATTGTATTCAGCTTGATCACAGTCACCTCTAAGTGGGATACAGGAGATTAAACCATAAAATCAGAACTGAATTAAAAGTCTGCTGGAATAATAATAATAAATGCTTCATACCAGAGCAATCAGCCACCAATTTAATGATACTGTTGTCATTTTAAAAAAACCTAACCAATATCTTTTTAACCAGTTAACCAATTAATATGACTTTTATGGCCAGCACCAACCAGCAAATGAATGAATTCACCCCCAGTCCAGTAAATGAATCTCTATTAAAAATCAGACAGAAAGATACATATCATTTTATCTGAGTCCCAAACAAGACATCACTTCAACAATGCACTACAGCAAATTCCAATAACCGAGGTCACATGTAATAAATATTTAGCTGGACTTTCTATTTAGATATGTCTAACATCCATTTGGCATTTTAAAATCTTTGGTAAACTGATATGGGGTGATTCTCAATTTTGTTTCTACTTTTGATTAATTTTGCACAGGCAAGTGATGATAGTAGATTTCTTATAACATCAAACTTTGGTAGCGCAGTTAGGGACTCTTCAGTTGCCCTTCTTATTGTGCAATTCATGATGCTTTGTGCTCACGTTATTGGGATGGTCATATACGACCCTGCTTTCAAAACTTTTTGCACCTATAAAGGTTTTCAGGCAGTTATGCTGCTTAATTTTCAGTCAATGCATATCTGAACTTCCTGTTGAAATCCTGCAACTTTTCATACCAAATGTTTGCTTTTGTTGTGATTTTTAGCCCCTCTGTACAACAATGTGGTCACTGAACATCTAATAAAGCAGAATAAACCGGAGAGGTAATCAACAGTGACCTGGTGGCACTTTAAAGACTAACAGGTTTATCACATCATAGCCATTCTACAAACATACTACAGTAAAGTCTTTTTGTTGAGTTATTTTAAAACATCAGGAAGTACTAGACTGCCTTTCTTCAGATCTTCGGCGCTGTGAACACTTCATGTCCAAGAGTAACCCTCCCTAAATCCCAGACCAGTTGAGATGGGGAGGTCGGCAGAAAACCTCCTGGAGGAGGAGCAGCACCAGAAAGTGAGCCTGTGCAGGAACAGAGGCGCCTGAGCGTCTGCACTTCGGGCTCCAATCCGAGCTAGCACCGCTCGCATCCTTCAGCGGCGATCCGGGCGCGCGGCTGCCCTTCCTCGGGTGGGGATCGCGAGGAGCGCAGCGCAGGCGGGATCGGCGAGGGGCCCCTCAGGATGCTCTCGATGCTGAAGGAGCAGCTGCGGGGGCCGCGGCCAAGGCCCCCCTCCGCCCCCGGGGGCCGCTCCCCCCGGGCAGCACGGAGCCGGGCGGCGGCGGCGGCGGGAGGAGGAGCGGGGTCCGGGCGCCGGGGGCCGCCGGGGAAGGCAGCGGGGGCCGCCTGAAGCGCCTCCTGCGGCGGAGGAAGCTGCCGTGGCGGAACATGCCCTGCGCGGCCGGGTGCAGGCTCCAGTCGCTGCCTTGGCCGGCGTGGCCGGGCTCCGGGGCACCTTGACGAAGCAGTCGTGGAGCGACAGGTTGTGGCGGATGGAGGCGGGGAAGCGCTCGCCGTAGTAGGGGAAGCAGCCGCGGATGAAGGCGCAGATCCCGCTCAGAGACAGCTTCTGCCGCGGACTCTGCGCGATGGCCATGGCGATCAGCGCGATGTAGGAGTAGGGCGGCTTGGCCGGACGCCTCCTGCCCGCGGAGCAACGGCCGGCCGCCCGAGACGGCGAGCTCTTCTTTCCCATCGGAGCCCGGGCAGCAGAGCTGCTCGAAAGCTGCCTCCTCACCGCGGAGACTCATCGCGAGCAAAGTCCGCGCAGCCGGCCCCGAGGAGAAACCCGCGCCAAGCCGCCTCTCTCTCGCTGGCTCTGCCCAGGGAGACCCGCGGGGACTTTCCTTACCCTGGAAGAGGGAGGGATCCTGCTGCCCATTGGCTGCCACTTGAGTGAGCAATGGTGGGGAACACGAGTTGGAAATCAAAGCACACGCGGTTTTTCTTTCATTAGTGAGGTTCTGAACATAAAACAGGATATATACAGCAATAGGCAACTGGGGAAACGGATCACGTCTCACCGACAAGGGCGACATGGGTGCAACACCTGCAGGTTGCCATCTCTCCTCCCAAATGTGAACACAACACGGAAAGTAGGTCCAGCTGTCATGAGCAAACTGGTCACCATCAGGGTTGAAGATGTGTGTCCCTATTCCTATCGGCAGAGCACGGGACTAGAACGGACTTTGAAAGTGGATGTGCAACTGGACGTGCAGCTGCATCAGCAACGCGGGCAGAAGGCTGCCTAAGGTCCTGCCTAAGACTGACTGCCTCAGTCAATCATCTTTGACTGAGGTGACCCCTGAAACTATTTAGAGCCCAGTACAGCAGTTTAAAAACAACTACTTATACTTGCACGAGTCAGGGTTCAGAAAGTATTCAGGAGTACCAAGATTTGTAATCTCAAAACAAAATCTGAATTTGTTTTCCAGTCTTAAATACAAAATACAAACAAACACAAAACTTGCTACCAAAATACGTGAGGTTGGGGAAATGAGTGAAAGACTACTGCTTAGAGCAACACGATAAAGCAGTGGTTCCCAACTGGTGGTCTGTGGACCTCAGGGGGTGCGCATAACCCACCCAGGGGGTCCGTGGCTCCATTCACATAACAAAAACTATCATAGAGATATCAACATTTTCAAAAGTAGGAGATCCATGGCTTGGCTTTTGAAAAAGAGAGAGTCTGCAGTGCTTAGCTAAGTGGGAACTACTGCGATAAAGCATTTCGCAGCTCTCTAGAGAGCAAGCCAAGATGGGCACCACCACACAAAAAGATTATATAAACGGAAATTATTATCTGCGGGGGGGGGGGGATAACCAGGCAACATCACAGTTGTAGCAGAAAGAAGACGACAATTAGGGGAAATGCTGGGGAAACAGCCATGCTGTGTTTATAGTAGTGCCCCCCCAAAAAAAATCAACAAGGAAAGAACAGCAATTTATAAAAAACGTGGGTTAGAAAAGTATTCTTTACTATCCTTCCTACTTCTCCTGCCAACAGTATTCCAACAGATGTCCAAGCAGACCAAATACAGCACATTACTAGACAAGACTACTGTCGGTCGCTCACGTACTCTTTATTCCCATACTCTGTATTCCCTTAGGTGAATTTAGCCCGCACTCCAAAAGGAAGTAGATGGAGAAAGGGTGCAAACGTATTTTCCGCTCCCTTGAACAAGGGAAGCGGTAACATGCGAATATTAGAGGGTCAGAGAAATCAAATAAGCTTCAAATATTAAATTCTACCACGAAGTACTACTGAGTAGTTGTTCTTTAACAGGAATTAAAAAGGAACTACAATTACTATTTACAATTTAGGAAACAGCTTCAAGGAAAGTTAATTTGGCAGTCCCCCAAGCGCCATATAAAAATCCTGCCAAATATGGTGCCCAGTTTTCTACTGGGTGCCTATTTAACTTGATGAAAGTAAAGTACTTTGATTGCAGATCCATATCAATCTGTATCAAGTTGTAGAACATGAGCTTCGCCACACTTTGTGTTTCCTTGCTTACTGGTGTGAAAACGATACTTTTTATGCTGCCATTTATTTTTAGTTCCGAAATTATGTTCTGCAAGCTTATTAAACGAAAGTAAATATAAACAGGGAGTTCTTTTGAGCACGTTCAGGGGATATGTTTTTTTTAAAAAAATGTTTTAAAAAGAACTGTCTGATTCCATTCAAATATAATATAATTTTCCTATAAAATTAACACAATGCCATCAGCATACATATATTGCATACAAGTATCAAAGTATATATTTCCATATATTAGCATAGTACGTGTTTGATAATACAAATATCAACAGAGAATTGTTGTGTTAGTAACATCACAATCTTGAAGAACACGCCCGTTTTCGCTTCCGAATCAGAAGCTGCCCTTTAAAGCCCGGCCGTCCAGTCCGAGGCAGGCTGACTCCGAAGCGCACCAGAAGCGCAGCCGACGGAGGGGGAGCAGCCCCGGTCTCCGACCCCCGGGGACACCCCCCCCCGCCGCCGCCCCCCGAGCAGCCAAGGCTGGGCCGCTCGTCCTGTGCCAGAGGCGGCTTACTCCCCGGCAAGCGCGCTTAGGATTGGGGCAGGACGGGAAAGGAGGCCGCGGAAGAGCTTCGAGTGTCTGCGGGCGCCGCGGGCAGCCAGGCGCCGCTTCCCCGCGAGGGCAGCCCAGGAGCCCCGTCCGACGTCGGCCAAATTCTCACGAGCGCTCGCTTCAGGGGGAGACAATGTGAAAGCAGCTCCGCCACGGGAGGCGCGCACCCGACGGAGCCCCCCAGCCGCCCCCACGTCTCCCGTTCAGCGTTATTGCCCTTCCCCACAAAATCCCTCTAGAATTTTTGTGACATGTAGGATGCGTCCCCCATTACGGAATATTTTAGGTAAACTACTCAGTTGGTCTTTAAGGTGCTATATTATAATTTTTAAATTCTTTTGGAAGGATTCTTTTAAGGACTTTCTTAGATCATATAACTTTTTTTGAAGACTTGATTCTTTTAAGGGAGTTTTTAAGAGGAGTCTTTTTAACTATCTTTTTAAAGTATTGTTTTAATTTATGGATAAGATTCTTCTTCTGAAGGTCCACTACAGGAGCTTAAGGGACGAGAAGCCCTGGCAAGTTTAAAGCAACCTGGGGCTGGGGGAGTTTATTAAGATTTAAGCCAAGCCTGAAATGCGTTTATAGCTGTTAAAATCGTTCCGCCTTCGTGTCCTGGCTCCAAGAAGGGTCTCAACCTGTGGGTCCCCAGATGTTGTTGGACTACAACTCCCATCTAGGGGTGATGGGAGTTGTAGTTCAACAGCATCTGGGGACCCACAGGTTGAGAAAGGCTGGAAGAGACACCGCCATTTCCTCTCCTATAGCCGACAAGAGGAAACGCTAATTTGAGGAGGGAGAAAGGTTGTTTTCTGCTGCTCCAGAGAAACGGACACGGAGCAATGGATCCAAACTACAAGAAAGAAGATTCCACCTAAACGTTAGGAAGAACTTCCTGACAGTAAGAGCTGTTCGACAGTGGAATTTGCTGCCAAGGAGTGTGGTGGAGTCTCCTTCTTTGGAGGTCTTTAAGCAGAGGCTTGACAACCATATGTCAGGAGTGCTCTGATGGTGTTTCCTGCTTGGCAGGAGGTTGGACTCGATGGCCCTTGTGGTCTCTTCCAACTCTATGATTCTATGATTCTATGAAACGCGATGGCCGGAGGCGCCAAAGGGCCATGGCTGCAAGTGTCGGGTGAGTGGCAAGTGTTTCGCCCTCGTGATGGTTTCGAGGGGCCGGTGGCTGCCCGCTGACACATCGTTTCAGCGGCTTTTCCTCCATCCTCTTTGTTCAGCTTCCAACCGGAAGCTACTTCTATTCTGATAGAGGGGAGACACTGACTGAAGCATCTCCGAAGCCAGGCAGGGACTTCTTTTCTGGAGCCCCAGAACTGGCCAAACCTTCCAGCTGTTGTGAATTCCTTCTTAACGTGCGAGGTTCACACTCTCGTCTTCCAAGCAACGTACTTATCTTTGTTTTTTAAAAAACGTCTACTTTACATTTTCTAAGTGCAAATGAATCTTTTTACATTCAGTTGTGGTTCCTTTACAGCAGGCGAGCAAAACCTTTTGCCCTCCTGATGTTGCTGAGCTCCAGCTCCCATCAGTCCCAACAAGTATGGCCAGTGCCCGCCGCAACAAAAATCCTGGCTATGCTCATGGATTAGAGTAGAATTTAAAGTAGAAAATATTATTATTATTATTATTATTATTATTAATTTATTATGATTTATTATTTGTACCCTGCCCATCTGGCTCGGTTCCCCCAGCCACTCTGGGGGAAATAAAATGCCTTAGAATGACTTAATAATGGAACAAAACCCATACGTAATTTAAAATAGATTCAGAGATTTATTAAGGCTATATTAGTTTCAACCTTCAGTTGCTGCTCACTGGGATCAAGAAAGACCAGTCACACAAGCATCCTCACACAAGACCCAGACTAGAGGAGGAATTCCGTTTTGAAATGCTGTTGCATTTGCAGTGATGTAACTGGGGAAAGTAATAGTTCTCTCATTCAGAAACACACACCCCATGAACTACCACTGTCTCCCCCTCCTCTGAGCTTGCTCTGGCAACAAAAGGTGGAATGCAAAAGTGGGAGACCTCCAAAAGGCTTACTGGTGCCTGTAATGTACCAGGAGACTAGGGAATTCCTTGAGAAAGCAGTCACCATCTGGATGCTACTGTCCAGCACACAAAGCTATAGGGAAGGTGCCAAGGGAAGCCTTACCCCTTTTGCTGATAAGACTCCCACTGCAGGTCACATAATGACAGAGGCAATGGGTAAGAACCATGGCAAAGGGAGGGATGGCATGTAATTTGATTTACAGAAGAAGAAAAACAAACTAATCTTAGCATTGTGTTTACTGTGACAAAAACCTTTTTTTTTATCAGCCAAGTGACCAAGTGATTCTTTCCAGGAGTGTGGCACAATCTGTCTCACTTGATCCATATGGATTAATTTTACTACAATTCATTTAATCAGGGCATTGTTTAAATTTTTAGTTCTTGTTCTTTGCCTCCTGCCACACTCATCCTAGACTGATGGATGGGAGGTTGTCTGCCCTTGATGGGGTTATATTTCCTCTGAAGCAGCGGGTACGTAGCTTGGGGGTATTACTGGGCCCATTGCTGTCGTTTGAGGCTCAGGTGGCCTCAGTGGCGTAGTGCCTTCCATCAGCTTTGGCTGGTAACCCAGCTACACCCTTATCTGGATAGCCTAGCTTCTGCCTTTTCTGTGGTGGCTCCCTACTTGTGGTAAGGCTCTCCTGGTGCCTTCAAAAGCATCCCTCTTCTCCCAGATCTTTGGGCTAATTAGCCAATCTATGACCTTTTAAATTGTGCTTTGTGTGTGTGCAAGCGTGTGGGGAGCTGTTTGTTATTATGGTATATATTTTTGTATTTTTATAGTGTAAACTGTCCTGTGATCTTCAGATGGGTGGTATAGAAATAATAATAAAAGGACAAAAGGAGAAAGAGGGAGGTAGACAAGGTGGAGGGAGTGGATGGGAGAGAAGGGCATCTAGTGGTGAAAAGTGGTAACTGCAGGGAAGGGAAATCCCCCCCCCCTTTATATACACCCAGCTACATTTAGATGGTCTGGCTGTACCTCTCCAAGTAAAGGAGAGGAAAGTAAGAATTGAAACAAAGGGAACAAAGGTTTGAGAGGAAAAAGAGCAACATACAAAGGTAATTTACTTAAAATAAATTACAGGAAAACAAACAAAGTGAATGTGGCAGCAAAAAAGTTATAATCAGTTGCAGGAAGCGCAACTCCCACACAGATGAGAAGGGGTTCGGTTATAGAGACAGAACCAAAGGTGGAGATTGCAGACATTTTAATGGTTTTGAGACAAGAGTTAAGAGAAAATTCAGATAAACTGGATAAAATCCTGGGGGAAACTGAATAGAACACCAAGACCAGGCATAGGCAAACTCGGCCCTCCAGATGTTTTGAGACTACAATTCCCATCATCCCTGACCAATGGTCCTGTTAGCTAGGGATGATGGGAGTTGCAGTCCCAAAACATCAGGAGGGCTGAGTTTGCCTTTGCCTGACCAAGACTGTGGAGGGTTTAATGGGACAGATTAAATAATTTACAACAAAGACAACAGACTTAGAAAAATCTATGCAAGAGTTAGGGAGAAAAACACAAGGCCTGGAGGAATCAACAAAAAAGACACAAGCAGAGGGAAAAGAGATGAAAAAGGAGCAGGAAAAGATAAAGGAGCAAAGGATGGAAATGGTGCAGATACAGGAGGCCACATGGAACTCGATGGTGGTTTGGAGATGGAGCAAAAGGAGTTAATTTTGCACTATAGAGGGAACCTGAGGAGGAGGAGGAGGAGGAGGAGGAGGAGGAGGAGGACATAAGAGAGAATCATAACAGAGATGGCAGGATGGTTGGGATTGGACGAAGATACATTACAACAAACAACTGATAAAATATTTAGAGTCAAATCAAGTTATGCCATGAAAAAGAAATCACCAGGAGATTGCCTAGTGATCTTCAATTCGAGAATGGTAAAATATAGAGTCTTACAGATGAATTATGAAAAAAGGCTCATAATTGGTGGGGGAAATATCATAATCCTTAAGGAAATCACGTTGAGATTGTTGAAAAAGAGATCCAATTATAAAACCTTAACTGATGTTCTGAAGACTAACAAGATTGCATATAGATGGGAGTTCCCTGAAGGTGTCTCTTTCACCTACAAAGGCAAGAAACAAAGATGTAGAAGCATAGAAAAGTTTTGGAGGAAATATAAGAAAGAACTGGGGAAGAAAAAGCCTGATGCAATAAGGGGACAAGGAGAAGGAGAAACAGCCTCAACTGGAAAGGATGAAGATTCGCAGGAAGAGGACAAACAACAAGATACAATTGACTATAAAATATTCAAATAAATATTTAAATAAAAAAATGATTTTTTTAAACTTGGAATGTAAATGGACTAAACAATAAAACAAAAAGAAACAGATTAAGCATATATTACCAAAAAAAAGTTTACATATCATTTGTCTGCAAGAAACACGTGTAACAAGAAAACATAGAAGAGTATTGATAAATAAAAAATTAGGAAAGGACTTTTCACATCAGACAAGATAAAAAAACGAGGGGTGGTTATGTAAAAGACAAATACGACCCTAAACCGCTATTTAAAGATGAGGAGGGAAGAGTGATGGCTATATAGATAACATTACAAGGCGAGAAAATAGTCATAATTGGAATCTATGCACCCAATGAAAAACCCCGGAATTTTATAAAGAATTGGAAGAGAAATTGTTTGATTTAATGGACCAAAAAATAATTTAAATGGGGGATTTGAATGGGGTAGTCTCACTAGAAATGGACAGGACAATAAGAAAAACAGACTCAAGAGAAGGTAGACTACCCCTTACATACTTTAATTTGGTGGATAATTTAAAATTGAATTATGCATGGAGGGATGTCAGGGAACTGCCATCGGAGCCAGGGGGAGAGGGAGGGCTCCAGAGGGATTCCGGAGAGCGTCCCGGGAGGGAGAGAAGCAGCACATCTTCTGGGGAAGGAAATCAGCGTAGCACCAGTGGAGAAGGGGGGCAGATGGGGGAATCGGCGAGGTGGCTCCATGACTTCTCGCCGGGGACCAGCGGGGAGAGCAGGGGTCCTCCGCTGCCCACACCCTCCCTGCGCAGAAGGCTTCCGCGCAGGGAGAGTAGGCGGAGACTAGGCGTCAAAGAACTTCTTTGCTGGAAGAAGTTCAAGAAACGCCCACTGACGGATTTTGCCAGCGATTGAGACAGCCACGGGCGAGTGGCTGTCCGGACAGAAAGGGTTCACTCAGGCAACCCAGCCAGGTGTGGCGCCGATTTACGCACGAGCAACCCCTAGAACCATTACAGCAATCCGTCAGACCCTGATGTTGCTTGTGCGCAGCCCAGGAGAGGCAGCCCGATGAGCCAAACAGGAACAGCCGGAGAGACGGAGCAACCAGCTGCGGTGCGGAGTCTGGTCGAGAGGAACTGAGACTTGGAAACGCATGTAGCTATCCTGACGGCGCGGCTGGAGGAAAGACGGGCTCAGGATGCACAGGTCAGAACCAGCCCCATCGCAAGGAAGGTACCAGGGCTGGTACACAAGTTTGGTGGAAAGCCCCAAGACTACAATGCTTTCCGAACGGAAGTGCAGTACACTTTGGAGCTGCAGAAAGATGACTTTGCTGATGATGGGGAGAGGGTGGCTTACATTGTGGGGCATCTGCAGGATGGGGTGCGCGAATGGATCAGGCCCCTAA